GACTTCAGGTGGAGTGCAACCCCGTCCAACACAGGTTGCCACCCTATCCCCCGATCCAGTTTACGATCGACCAGGAGGACCTCTGTCTTGTTGGGATTGATCCTCAGCTTGTTCCTCCTCATCCAGATAGACACAGCGGTCAGGCACTCGTCCAGCACCCGAGGGGCTTCCTTGGAGTTAGGTGGAAAAGAGTAGTAGAGTTGTGTGTCATCTGCATAGAGATGGCACCCAACTCCAAAACTCCGGATGACCTCTCCCAGCGGTTTCATGTAGATGTTAAAAAGCATGGGAGACAGAATAGAGCCTTGCGGGACCCCACAGGTCAAAGGCCAGGGGTCCGAGCAGGCGTCTCCCAGCTTCACCATCTGGGATCGACCCTCCAGGAAGGACCGGAGCCACGACAGAACCATGCCCCCGAGGCCCATCCCAGAGAGACGACCCAGAAGGATACCATGATCGATGGTATCGAAAGCCGCTGAGATGTCCAAGAGAACCAGCAGAGTCACACTCCCCCTGTCCAGCTCTCTACGGAGGTCATCCACCAAGGCGACCAAGGCCGTCTCGGTGCCGTGGCCAGGCCTGAAACCATCAAATCATCCGGGCGTCCCCTGGGCAACGTCCTTGCAGACGGCCAATTCTCTTACACCAGAAGCAACTTGCAGTTTCTCAAGTAACTCCTGACACGATTAAAAAAATATGTTAATGTTGTTATTATCATTATGAATAGGGTTACCTTTTCCAGTCTAATGTATACAAAGTGATATTTTAATGAATATTTTATTGTTAACTGGCTTCAATCCATATGCAAAGAGAAAAGCAAGATAGTAGAAAATAATAACAGTAGTAGTAAGTAGTAGTAAATAACAACAATATTATTGTTGTTGTTACCTTTGCCAGTCTAATGTATACAAGGTAATATTTTAATGAGTATTTTATTGTTAGCTGACTTAAATCCATGGCAAGATAGTAACAACAACAATAACAACAACAACAACAACAACAACATTATAAATAATATGTTTACCTTTGCCACTCGAAAGGTCTCCAAATCCAAAACATTTACATCTGACATCTTGCAAACAGGATAAAGTGGAGCCCAGATCTTTGATTCACCATGCTAATTAGTAAAAATTAGTCCTAACAATGACCTTAATGAGCCAATGTCTTCATTCAAAACCTTCCCTGCAGCTCTCTGCAGCCAAGGTGGGCTTGCAGCAGCACTGAGCTCACAAACCCCGCCCCTTTCTGGCTCTTCGGAACGCTAATTGGTGCATCGGGGAGAGAAAAAGGGGGTCCTTTGCGCGGGATGGTTTTCCATTGGGCAGGAGCGCTGCCACTCAAAGCGACACCCGGAAGTATCTTGCAAAGAGGCAGAAATGTGGCTTTGGGGAGTTTGCAAGAGGGGAAAATTGGGAATGTATTATTATCATTATCATTATCATTATTATTATTATTATTATTATTATTATTATTATTATTATTATTATTATTATTGCTGTTGTTATAGCTTATATAGTATTATCTTTATAATATATTTATATTATAATACTATATAAACTATAACAGCAATAATAATAATAAATATATAATATATTTATATAATAAATATAATAATAATAATAAATATAATACTATATAAACTATAACAACAGCAATAATAATAATATAATTATTATATAGTATTATTATATTATTATAGGAGCCCCCGGTGGTGCAGTGGGTTAAAGCACTGAGCTGCTGAGCTTGTTGATCGAAAGGTCGCAGGTTCGATTCCGGGGAGCGGCGTGAGCTTCCGCTGTCAGCCCTAGCTTCTGCCAACCTAGCAGTTCAAAAACATGCAAATGTGAGTAGATCAATAGGTACCGCTCCGGCGGGAAGGTAACAGCGCTCCATGCAGTCATGCCGGCCACATGACCTTGGAGGTGTCTACGGACAACGCTGGCTCTTTGGCTTAGAAATGGAGATGAGCACCATACCCCAGAGTCAGACATGACTGGACTTAATGTCAGGGGACCACCACCACACCATATAATATTATATATTATATATTATATTATTATATTATATTAGTATTATTATTATAGTATTTCAGGCAAAAATTGGCATGGTCAAAAACAAAGATGGCAGGGACCTAACAGAAGCTGAAGAGATCAAGAGAAGGTGGCGAGACTACACAGAAGATCTGTATAGGAAGGATAATAATATCGAGGATAGTTTTGACGGTGTGGTGAATGAATTAGAACCAGACTCCTGAGGAGTGAGGTTGAATGGGCCTTAAGAAGCATTGCTAACAACAAGGCAGCAGGAGACGACGGGATCCCAGCTGAACTGTTTAAAATCTTAAAAGATGATGCTGTCAAGGTGATGCATGCCATTTGCCAGAAATATGGAAAACACAAGAATGGCCATCAGACTGGAAAAAATCAACTTATATCCCGATACCAAAAAAGGGAAATGCGAAAGACTGCTCACACTTCCGTACAGTGGCCCTTATTTCTCATGCCAGTAAGTTAATGCTCAAGATCCTGCAAGGAAGACTCCAGCAATACATGGAGCGAGAGCTGCCAGATTTTCAAGCTGGGTTTAGAAAAGGCAGAGGAACGAGAGACCAGATTGCCAATATCCGCTGGATAATGGAGAAAGGCAGGGAGTTTCAGAAAAACATCTACTTCTGCTTCATTGACTATTCTAAAGCCTTTGACTGTGTGGATCATAATAAATTGTGGCAAGTTCTGGGTGGGATGGGCATCCCAAGCCCCCTTCCCTCTCTCCTGAGGAATCTGTACAAGGACCAAGTAGCAACAGTCAGAACTGACCACGGAACACAGACTGGTTCAAGATTGGGAAAGGCGTACGGCAAGGCTGCATCCTCTCACCCAACCTTTTTAACTTGTATGCAGAACACATCATGCGAGGATGTGCGGGGCTGGATGAATGCAAAGCTGGGGTGAAAATTGCTGGAAGAAACATTCACAACCTCAGATATGCAGATGACACCACTCTGATGGCCGAAAGCGAGGAGGAGCTGAGGAGCCTTCTAATCAAGGTGAAAGAAGAAAGCGCAAAAGCCGGGTTGCAGCTAAACATCAAAAAAACCAAGATTATGGCAACAAGAATGATTGACAAGTGGGAAATAGAGGGAGAAAATGTGGAGGCCGTGACAGACTTTGTATTTCTAGGCGCAAAGATGACTGCAGATGCAGACTGTGGCCAGGAAATCAGAAGACGCTTCCTTCTTGGGAGGAGAGCAATGTCCAGTCTCGATAAAATAGTCAAGAGCAGAGACATCAGACTGGCAACCAAGATCCATTGCCTAGTCAAGCCATGGTCTTCCCTGTAGTCACCTACGGATGTGAGAGCTGGACCTTAGGGAAGGCTGAGCGAAGGAAGAGAGATGCTTTTGAGCTGTGGTGTTGGAGGAAAGTTCTGAGAGTGCCTTGGACTGCGAGAAGATCCAACCAGTCCATCCTCCAGGAAATAAAGCCCGGCTGCTCACTGGAGGGAAGGATACTAGAGGCAAAGTTGAAGTACTTTGGCCACATCATGAGGAGACAGCAAAGCCTAGAGAAGGGAAGGATGCTGGGGAAAGTGGAAGGCAAAAGGAAGAGGGGCCGACCAAGGGCAAGATGGATGGATGGCATCCTTGAAGTGACTGGACTGACCTTGAAGGAGCTGGGGGTGGTGACGGCCGACAGGGAGCTCTGGCGTGGGCTGGTCCATGACGTCACGAAGAGTCGGAGACAACTGAACGAATGAATAACAACAAACTATAACCACAGCAATAATAATAATAATAATAATAATAATAATAATATAGTATTATATTTATTTATTTATTTTTATTAATATTTTATTATACATTTATCAAACAACATGTATAAGCATACATTCTTCCCTCTTTTTACCACATCTTAGATAGAAGAATTTGTCATATTATATACAATCTAACAGTAAAAATAATCAAATACATCTTTAAGCATATTTCTTATCATTCCGTTACAACTTATACTATGTATATCTCTACCACACACCTTTTATCTACTTATACATGTTTTATTTCTTTATACTTAGTATTATACCATTTCCCCCCTCTTCCCTTTACCTTTAGTTTGTGCCCCCTTCACTGGAGTGGAAATCAATAAATCATCTATCGGACAGATGGCAAGCTATTCAACCTCAGCAGACTGCAAGCCAAAACCAAGGTTACAACAACATCTGTTATAGAACTCCAGTATGCTGATGACAACGTGGTCTGTGCGCATTCAGAAGAAGATCTACAAGCCACTCTAAACACCTTTGCAGAAGCATACGAGAAGCTCGGCCTGTCATTGAACATTGAAAAAACCAAGGTGCTGTTCCAGCAGTCACCAGCCAACCCCTCTCCAATGCCAGTGATACAGCTTAATGGTGTAACATTAGAAAATGTTGATCATTTCCGTTACCTTGGCAGCCACCTCTCCACCAAAGTCAACATCGACACCGAAATACAACACCGCCTGAGCTCTGCAAGTGCAGCATTTTTCCGAATGAAGCAGAGAGTGTTTGAGGACCGGGACATCCGTAGGGATACCAAGGTGCTTGTTTATAAAGCTATTGTCCTCCCAACCCTGCTATATGCCTGCGAGACGTGGACTGTCTACAGACGTCACATGCAACTCCTGGAACGATTCCATCAGCGCTGCCTCGGAAAATCCTGCAAATCTCTTGGGAAGACAAGCGGACAAACGTCAGTGTGCTGGAAGAAGCAAAGACCACCAGCATTGAAGCGATGGCCCTCTGCCATCAACTCCGCTGGACCGGCCATGTTGTCCGGATGCCAGACCACCATCTCCCAAAGCAGTTGCTCTACTCCGAACTCAAGAATGGAAAACGGAATGTTGGTGGACAGGAAAAGAGATTAAAGATGGGCTCAAAGCCAACCTTAAAAACTCTGGCATAGACACTGAGAACTGGGAAGCCCTGGCCCTTGAGCTCTCCAGCTGGAGGTCAGCTGTGACCAGCAGTGCTGCAGAATTCGAGGAGGCACGAGGAGGGTGAAAGAGAGAAGTGCCAAGAGGAAGGCGCGTCAAGCCAACCTCGACCGGACCGCCTTCCACCTGGAAACCAATGCCCTCATTGCGGGAGAAGATGCAGAGCAAGAATAGGGCTCCACAGCCACCTACGGACTCACAAGAATACTGGAAGACAATCATCCTCGGAAAGCGAGGGATCGCCTAAGTAAGTAAGTAAGCCCCCTTCACCAGGACCAACCTACACATGCTATTTCACAATTCCAAAATGTCATTGTTTCTGTTGCTGGCTTGTGCCCCTTTCCCTCATTAAAAATATACTCAATAAATTTTCCCCATATTTTCCAGAAATTTGTTTGTTTCCCCTTTTAATTTTAATATTGCAGGTTAGCTTATCATTAATCGCTATATTCCAAATTTCCCTATACCGTTCTTCTAATTGAATTTCTTTTTTTTCTTTCCAGTATTTTGCTATGAGCAATTTAGCTGCTATTATCAAATTAGAAACCAATTCTTTCTCCTCTTGTGATGGAATTGTATTGTCATGTATAAGTAATAAAGCTAATTTTGGTGTAGTCTTAATCTCTATTTTTATTATTACTCTTATTTCTTTGAATATGCTTTCCCAAAAATTTTGTATGATTTTTACGTGACCACCATCTATGAAGGTATGTCCCTATTTCCTGACAACCTCTCCAACACTGATTTGAGTATTTTTTATCAATCTGATTTAATCTAATGGGAGTTAGATACCACCTCCATATCGTTTTATAGTAATTTTCCTTGATTCTTATAGACATATTTTTTAGTAATCTCATACTCCATATCTTTACCCATTCCTGATTATTCACTTTTTCCCCCAAGTCTGTTTCCCATACTTCCTTCAGATAATCTTGTTCCTGTTCATTCTTTAATAACAGTTGTTAGATATCACTTGTTGTTGTTCATTCGTTCAGTCGTCTCCGATTCTTCGTGACCTCATGGACCAGCCCACGCCAGAGCTCCTGTCGGCCGTCACCACCCCCAGCTCCTTCAAGGTCAGTCCAGTCACTTCAAGGATGCCATCCATCCATCTTGCCCTTGGTCGGCCCCTCTTCCTTTTGCCTTCCACTTTCCCCAGCATCATTGTCTTCTCTAGGCTTTGCTGTCTCCTCATGATGTGGCCAAAGGACTTCACTTTGTCTCTAGTCTCCTTCCCTCCAGTGAGCAGCTGGGCTTTATTTCCTGGA